TGGACGACAAGATCTGGGCCCTGTGGGCGCCCAAGGGAAAGTTTACCTCCATTCCATCTGCATTTTTTTAAAGATAATTAATAAAAAAAAAAATCTCTCTCAGTCCCGCACCACCCATAAAGTGAGAAAAGAGGATAAAAAAAAAAAAACAGGATTTGACAGGGAGCCGATGATGGCGTCGATTGTCGCTCAGCTTCTTCAGCTCTCACCCCTTCTCCTCCAAAACCCAGAACCCCCTCGATCAACTATCAGCGCACGTCGATGAGAATAATAGGAGGCCCTTGTGTTCCCTGCCCCGCTCTGGGGCCGGCCGGGCGGCGGGCCGAACGCCTGGCTGGGCGTTCGGCGTAGTAAGGTTCTGTAGCCTGGAACGAGACCTCCGCATCGACTCCTACGAGCGCTGCTCCCTGAACCCGACGCTCCGGTCCGGCGCCTCTCGTCGTCCGTCGTTTCCGTCGTCGAATTCCTCTCCTCGTTAGCGGCATCGACGACTCCGCCCAGCCTCTTCCAGATGTACGCCGACCTCCTCACGTGCGACCGCGCCGACTCCGACCTCCGCCCGTCCTCGACTTCCTCCTCGGCCCGTGCGGCACATCCCGTTCGCCGCCTCCGTCTCGCTGGCCCGCTGGCCACCCGCCTCCATTCGTCTCCAGCGTCCCCTCCAGCTCCGCCCCCGGCCCCTCCACTTCTCTCGCCGCCTCGGCTTCGGTGGGCCCCCACCGGATCTCCCCCACACCACCCTCCTCCTCGTTCTCGCGCGTCGTAGCCGGACCCTCGTCCGCCAAGCTCGACTTCATCCGGTCCTCGGCTTCTCCCACAGGGAACGGCCAGGTGGTCCTCCGGTCGCCTGGCCTGCTGACCTTCAGCATCCCCAACAACCTCAAGCCCAAGGCCGAGTTCTTGACCGGGGAGATGGGGAGGGGCGTCGAGGAGCTCAAGGGCTTCCCCCAGTACTTCTCCTTCAGCCTGGAGGGGAGGATCAAGCCCAGGCACAGGGCGCTGCTGGAGACCGGGCTGCAGATGCCGCTGCCTGACATGCTCAAGGCCAGCGACGGCCATTTCAGGGTGAGGCTTCT